TGTTTAAAACCGCCTTAGTTGGACACCGGTTTAGAAGATAGACTGAAGTATATACTGCCTCTGCCCAGAATGTTTTAGGCATTCCTTTTTCAGCTAACGTAGACCTTGCCATCTCCATGATTGTGCGGTTCTTCCTTTCGGATACCCCATTTTGTTGTGGAGTGTATGCTACTGTTAGTTGATGCTCTACACCTTCATCTTCACAGAACTTGTCAAATTCTTTTGAGTTGTATTCGGTACCTCGATCGCTTCTCAACTTCTTGATTTGATGACCACTCTGTTTCTTCACGAAGTTCTTGAATCTCTTGAATATTCTAAAGACTTCGGATTTTTCTTAGAAAAAATACACCCATGTCATCCTATAGTAATCATCGATGAAGAGTATGAAGTACCTGTTCTTCGAAACTAAAGGCGTGCGCATTGGACCACAGACATCGGTGTGGACAAGCTCTAGTATCTATTTGGCTCTCCATGTCTTTTCTGTTGGAAATGGTTGCCTGTGCTGCTTCCCAACCATACATCCTTCACATACTCCTTCTTTTTCATCCAGTAGAGGCATGTCTCTCATCATTTTCTTTTGGTGTAGTAATCTCAAGGCATTGAGATTGAAGTGCCCAAATCTTCGATGCCATAGACTCATATCACTCAGTTGAGCCACCATCGCCTTTTGTGGATATTGCCATTGAATAGGAAAATTTCTATTATTTCCCTTTTTTACTTCAGCAATTTCTTGATTATTATTCTTGTCATAAATTCGGCAAGAATTTTCTCAAAGTGCAAGGCATATCCACTTTCCATCATTTGGCCAACACTTAGTAGATTTTGTGCAAGGCGTGGCACTAGGAGAACGTTTCTAATAAAGCGCGTACCTTTCTTTGTATCTATGACAATGGTACCTTTCCCCTTTGCCTCCACCAAATCGCCATTGCCCATCTTGACCTTTGTCTTGATAGAGGTGTCTAAGTCATGGAAGATGGTCTCGTTGGATGTCATGTGATTGCTACACCCACTATCGATGTACCACTCTTCTTCTTTTGCTTCTATGGCTGAGTGACATGCGTAGAACATGTACTCCTTCTCCTTAAAATCTTCAGAATAGTTGGCCTGATAGTTTCTTCTATCTCTGCAATCTTGTTCTTCATGCCCGAACCTCTTGCAATTTCTGCATTGTGGCTTTCCTCGATGGTAGCAATCTTTCTCTAAGTGATTAGTCTTCTTGCATATTTTGCATGGTGGAAAGTTCGTCTTTCTATCCTTGTTGTTAGAATTCCCATCTTTATGTGGTTTAAAGTTTTCACCATTTCTCGAGTGATTCCTTTTAATGTTGAGCTTAGACTGGAAGGCACTTTCTAATGAACTTTCGTGTCGTCTTTTCAGCCTTTGCTCACGTGCTTCTAGTGACCCCATTAATTCAGTGATGGGCATTTTTGATAGATCTTTTGACTCCTCAATAGCCGAAACTACTGGATCATATTTTTCAGGGAGACTGATTAGGACCTTCTGGATTATTCTCTCATCGGTTATGTTTTCTCCAAGAGATCTCATTTCATTGACTATATGTATAACCCGAGAGAAATAATCTTTTACCATTTCAGAATCTCTCATCTTTAAATTTTCGAGCTCTCTTCTTAAACTTTGTAATTTAATTGTTCTAACTTTCTCATTTCCTTGAAATTCCTCCTTAAGAATATCCCAAGCTTCTTTTGCCATAGTAGCACGAATTATTCTCGGGAAAATAGTATCACAAACGGATTGTTGAAGAAGATAGAGAGTTCTAGCATTTTGCTGTTTTTGTTTCTTACGTACCTCAGAAGTTGATGCGTCGTCGCTTCCTTTTTCCGGCATGATGATTCCTTCTTCAACAATATCCCAGAGATCATGTGATTCTAGGCAAGTCTTCATACGGACACTCCAATAGTCATAGCTTTTCCCATTGAACATCGGAGTTGATACCGAGAAGCTTGATGTCGCCATAATGCCCGCTTATGATCGAACAAGCTTTGATACCACTTGTTAGAAAATAGAAGAGGTTGTTGGTTGTATGAGTAGAATAAGTGATTTTAGTGAGGTGTAATGTAGATGATGTGTTTTAGAGGAGAGCTCTTGTCTCTAGAAAAGTAGTATTGTATTGATGTTTCTTGGTTTTGCTTCGTATGCAAATGAGTACATGAGTCCTATTTATAAGAGCTAGAGGATCATTCTAGATCCTTATTCAATGCTATGATTCTAGAGTATTCTACATCTATGTCTAATTACTCTAGATTTTACATAAGAATTCTCTAGTAGAGAATTTTCTAGAATACTTTCTAACTTTAACTCTCTAGATCATCTCTAGCCTTTTCTATATAGAATATTCTAAATAAATGCATCACTATTTAATAGACAGTCTTAATATGTGAGGATTACTTTCTTATTTTACTATGTCTTGCTTCACTGTGCTGATAAATGACGATTCATTTGTGAACATTATGCATTTCACTAAAGGATTTGTCTACTGAGTTGCCGTATGAACAGGGCCGGTCCTGGGGGGCAACAGGGGCGACCGCCCTAGACCCGAAAAAATAGCAAAAAAAACAGGTCCAAATTTTTTTTTCTTTATATATAGCGTGAGTAGGACTCTTTTTTGTATTTTTTTGAATAAACTTATTTTTTAATTATCTTTTTTTTGTATTTTAAAACTCATTTAATTAGGCCCATGGTTTAATTTTGTTCATAATTTGAAAATTATTTAAAAAAACATAAAAAAAATTATAAAAGGAATGTAATGTGTCCCTCCCAATCCCCAGTGGCCCAATAACCCAAATCCCTAAACTACCTAAGTGCCTATTACATATTACCGAAGTACTAACCTCCCAAATCCCAATAACCCACTTGCCGTGCAATTCCCAAATCCCAAGTTCGTATAACCTCCATCGACCCTAACTCCCCAAGGCAAATTCTCCACTTGGCCGGCCACTCCCAAATTCTTCACTTGGCCGTGCAATTCCCAAATCCCAAGTTCGTATGCCTATTTCATTGTTTATTGATTTTGTTTTTTTTTTCAATTTTGAAATCAAGTAACGAAGGTTCAAATGTTAAATTGTTAATTTGTTATCAAGGTTGCCTAAGTGATAACTGATTACGAAGTATGCCAATCAATCCAGAAGCGGAGGAGGCGAGGAGCCCAAAGGTCGGCCGACGATTACAAGTGTAGAACACTTCTTTCAACTTTCAAGGTTTCAAACAATCTACCAGTCATCAGTGCTAAGTAAATTAATCTCAATCTATTATAATTTCTTTTGATTTATAATTAATGATTTATGATTTATCCTTGCAATTGCAATTTGTATATAAGAAAATGTTTTTGTTATATGATGCATTTTTATTGTCTTTTTAAATTGTTATCTGTGCGCTATTGGCTATGGACCCTATCGTGCAATTTTGAATTCTTTTATTGTTTTTTTACGATTGTGAAGGTGCTTGATAAAATGGGCGAATCTGGTTGGGAAAAAGAGAAAAAGAGGCAAAGATTAGAAAAGGCAGCCTTAAGTCAAAAGGGTGCAATGGAAAAATATGTTTTCATTAAGAAGTTGAATCCTGAAAATTCTTCTCAAGTTGAATCGCCGCTAAATTCTTCTGCGAATGAAAATCATAACACGCCTGAAAATAAAGATATTGGTACAGAAGACGCAAATGTTGAAACTGAGTCAGATAAATGTGATTTAGGTGAAGAAAATAAATGAGTGGGGGTCATTTTTCAGTGATTGATATATTTGATCCGGTTTATTGGGAGAACCTTGATGCCAAAATGAAAGATATTTTAGTTGAAAAGGGGCCTACAACGGAAACTCAACTAAATTATCCTCTTGATGCCAAGTTTAGACATTTTTTAAATGCCTATTATACTAGGAACATGAAAAATAAAGAAAACGAAGATAGACAATGGCTAGTGTATTCCAAAAAAGTGGATAAAGTCTTTTGCTTTTGTTGCAAGTTGTTTAAAACAAAAGAAGGTCCCAATCATTTAGCTAATGAAGGAACTAATGATTGGAAACATCTTAACGAAAAGCTTTCTACCCATGAAAAAAGGGTTGAACATTTTACTAATGTGCAAAGATGGATGGAACTAAAGATGAGATTGGCAAAACAAAAAAAACCCTTGATTTGGCTATTCAGGAAAAATTGGCAAAAGAGAAGCAGCATTGGAGGAATGTTCTTAAGAGGATAATAGTTTTAGTAAAGACTCTTTCTAAAAAATCACTTGCCTTTCGTGGAAGTAGTGACAGACTTTATGATGAAAAAATGGCAATTTTTTAGGGTTTATTGAAATGATTGCAGAGTTTGATCCCATTATGCAAGAACATGTGAGGCACATCCAATGTAGTGAGATTCACTATCATTATTTGAGTCACAAAATTCAAAATGAATTGATTCTGAGGTTAGCATCGAGTGTGAAAAGTACAATTGTTAATCAAATTAAAGCTGCAAAGTACTATTAAGTTATTCTTGTTCAAGGGCGGTTACTTTTTTTGGATGTGTTCAGAAATTGTATACATTATTTTCTGGTTCAACAAAAAGATGGGCAATTTTGAAAGAGCATTTACAGGGCTTAACTTTGAAGTCATTGTCCACCACACGTTGGGAATGTCATGTGGAAAGTGTTAAAGCAATTGTAACCCAAACTTTGCAAATACGAGAAGCTTTGATTGAACTGGGAAAAGATTGCACTGATTATTCGTCTAAAAATGACGTTAAAAGTGTGCTGAAACAAGTAGAAAAGTTTGAATTCTTATTGGGCATGGTAATATGGTATGATGTTTTGCATCCCATTAATAAAGTCAGTAAATTATTACAAAAAGAAGATATGTGCATGGATGCTTGTATAGTAAATATGAATGCTTTGATTATTTATTTAAACAAGTATCGAAATGAGGGGTTTGAAGATGCAATGAGTAGAGCAAAAGGTATTGCTCTAGAATTGGGGCTTGAACCTTGTTTTCCTGAAAGGCAATCGATCCGAAGGAAAAAGCACTTTGATGAAGATAAAGAAGATGATGAAGATAAGTCGCCTCAAGATGCTTTTAAGTGTTTTTATTTTAATGTTGTAATGGATGCTTGTTTGGCTTCTTTGCAAAGTAGATTTGATCAGATGAAGGTTTTTCAAGGTATTTTTGGGTTCTTGTTCAATTCACGGAACTTGAAATATTGGATTCTGATAAGTTGAGAGATTGTTGTAAGATACTTGCAGAAGCTCTACAAGATGGTGAAAAGGAAGACATTGATATGGATGATTTATTTCAAGAATTGAAAATGTTGCAAAATATTTTACCGGATGATAGGGACACAGCCATTAAAATTCTTGATTTTGTGAAGAACTTGTGTTGTTATCCGAATACAACAATTGCTTACAAAATACTGTTGACAATACCTGTGACCGTTGCCACAACGGAGAGAAGTTTTTCAAAGTTGAAGATTCTGAAGAATTATTTGCGATCGACTATGTCTCAAGAAAGACTGAATGGACTAGCAATTTTAAGCATTGAGCATGAGATCTTGGAAAAGGTTGATTATGAAGCAATTATTGATGATTTTGCTTCACAGTGTTCAGCGAGAAACGTTTTTAAGTAATGTTTTTCTTTTTATGTGATACTTGTTACATTTCATCAAACATGTTATTTAAATATTAATAAAGTGAATTTTGTCTTTATTTTTTACCTTTATTCAATTATTCGGTAGTTTTATTATAATCTATGTTTGTCTTATAAATTTAGGCCCAACTTAGCTTCTCGCCCATAGGCCCAAAAAATTACAGGACCGGCCCTGCGTATGAATAAAATGTTTTAAGGGAAATGCTCTACTGGATTGCTATGTCTAGAAGGTGTTTGATAATATTCCTGAGAAGTAACTCTTCTCAGTTTTCTTGTTTTTTTAATTTTCTTGATAACCTTTTTTATTTTGCTAGACTATAAATAGACAATAATATTCTTACTTGATAGGATTAAATGCTTCAATAAGGTTGCAAGTGACCAATATTACCAAGCGCATGGGACACAAGCTGATATCTCGATCGGCTAAGAAGGTGACTTTGTAATCCTTTTCCATTGTATATTTGTTTTTCACGCGCAAACACACACATCCTCATTTTTGTTCAATTCAACTTTGAATATTTTCTCATAGCTACGCTGGTGAGGTCTTCTTGGCCTTCACTTTAGGTGCCTCACCCAGTGTTACAAATATTTCTCTCTTCCTAGTCTTTTCTAAAAGATGGTGAATTGTCATGTTCGTAAATTTTTTGACGAAATGCCTAATAAAAAAGATATATGGACTACGCTTAAAATATGAGTGAGCCAAAACCAAATAGTTGCATTTTGCTTTCTAGTACATGTAGTGTCACTACTTGAAAACTGGAGTATGGGTATTTAGCTATCTGGAGTATATGTATTTAGCTATCTTTGTGTTTCTCCTCACATTTCTTCTAAATTCATGCCCGAAGACCTAATCTTTTTGGATCTGCATTTTGAAATTAGGCGTTGATGAAATTTCTATACCACATATCCTCAGGTATGATGTTTCTTTTCCCTTTCATAGTTTAATGTATAAATAGATTGTTTTATGGTGTTTTCTATAGTTATAGAGGAGAAAGATATTTGAAAGATATTTATCTATCAATAGGATCTTCTATTGATAAGTTGTTTTGTGTTGTTGTCTACAGTTATAGAGGAGAAAGATATTTTGAAGATTCTTCTTTTACTGCTTGGTTAGGTTTGGATTTGCATTATTTGTGCAATTGGATGCAAAACTATTTTCATGACTTTATGTAATTGGATTTGTATTCAGGTACATAGAGTGGTAGGCTATGCACTATACCTCGTACTTTGTGTGTTATCTATTTTAGTTTCTTGCTAGTTTCTAACTTTTGTGTGTTGTATGTCAATTTTTGTGAATGTGGGATGGATAATTACCCGGTTAGTGGTTACTTTGGGATACTCAGTGCATTAATTCCACTTTGTTTTCATTTAAATACAAAATTTCTGATAGTTGAAATTAAATTGTCTGCTATAGCACCTCTAACACTACCCACATTTCCCATTGGGTGCAATTACTTGTAATATTAATAGCGTCAAATACCTTTATTTCAAGCACTTAAGCCAAATGTTCCAAAAGTATATATATTTGCATTTCCTTTTCCTATTATTAGCGTATTAAGACATTCAGTTTATAGTCAAAATTACGTATGGAGCGAGAGCACTTGACCGATCGAGAGGTGAAAGGTACGTATGATTCTGACTCTATTTTTAATTAAATTATGAGAGAGAAAATTAAAAGAGCTGGAAAGAACTTAATCTGATTTCCAACCTTGTCAAGAAATCCCAGAGCTAATTAATTCTCTCCAAATCTCTTTTATTAATTTAATTGAGAACCCCTTATATAGACAATAAGAGTTTCCTAAAAATAATAGGAAGCTAGATTGCTATTCTAAAAGAAATACGGAATATGATGGAGGAAGACTATTCCAAGTAGGACTAATAAATATTAAATAGTAATACTAATACTATTAGAACTCTTCTGCTTGTTGGGCCTTTTTCCTTGGCCACTTTTCCCGTTAACTTCATCTATTCCTCTTTGACCTCTTCTTTTTGTATGTCCGACCAAAAATTTGGGCTGAGATTCAAATTAATTGAATTGGTTGTGTTCCTGTTTGATTAGTAAATTTTTTGCTCTTTGCAGAGTTCAGTAAACCTAACTTTTCTGAAGCTTCTTTTAACCAAAGGTATCTTTGCTTCTGATCTTTTTCATTTGTATCTCTCTTATATAAAGACTAAGAGATTTAGATATACACAAACTTGTAAAAATGATGAACTTTGTCCCCCCATGATGGAGTAGCCAGTGTTCTAAAAGGCTCCTTAAGGTTTTTTCTAGACTTCTTTTATAGAGTTTGGGGAACGAGGATTGCTTCTCGCCTACCGGTGTGGGGAAGAAGAATGGAAAAGGTTAAAAATAAAAACTACGTACTTCGGAAGAGGCACTCAAATTTGGTCACAACACCACCCAGTTCTCTTTCTTTTGCAAAGAATTAAACTTTGTAAATTATTACTACGTATAATCTTATAACCAGTACCAAATACAGTAATTCACTAAAAAACTATATGGAGTACTATTTACTGTTATTCTTATTAATATGCTTATATGTTTACCTGTATGTTTAGTAATATTAATACTATTGTGTTTGTAATCCTTGTTATTACGGAGTATTATATATTATTATTCTATTTCATGTTTATCATTTTTATTAGATGTTTTTTATAAAGTATTTGTATAGTAAATTTTATTAACGAGATATATGACTAGAGTGATTATAAGTATATTTATAGTCACTACAGCGTAAAGTTTAAATGTACCTACAATCACTAAGAATAATTAAAGAACATTTTTGTCCATTACTTATATTTTTGTAATATATTAGTTATTATTTCTTTTTGTGCCATTGGTAAAAATATACTACCGATTTGTTGGATTTAGGACTCGACAAATCTTTTTTGTTGAAAATGAGATAAACATCCTGCTTTTAATAACATTATTTAATATTAAACTTAAATATTTTGAAAATAGTTCTAGAAATAGTAAAATAAAGGATAAAAATCAAAACGCATTTTCACGCCTTTGTCCCGCCTAAGCCCGCCTAGGCTTCGAAGGCTTAAGGCTTGGACGTGCCGCCTCGACACGCCTTACGCCTTTTAGAACATTGATTGTAGCTATCTAATGTAACTTGATTTTGTTTCTTTCAGATATTGAAAAGTCACCAACAAGTAGGAAGCACTATAGTCTCATGTTGAAGATCAACTGATTTAGTCATAGGTGGAGCTTATAGCAGTTAGAAAGATCTGAAATTAGTTTATTATAGATTTAGTTGAGTTTGTGTTGGAATGTGTATGACATTTGAATTGTAAATGATAATTCTTTTTATTTTCAATAAAGCGCCTTTTGATTTTTCATACATTGTCATTTTTTATTTTTCAAGTAATAATCTTACATTTCGTGTGTATAAATAATTATATATAAATATAATATACAAATATATAATCAACATTTGTGATACCAATGTATCATAAATTTAATTGATACTAACGTGTCAAAATATAAAGTGATATTGTTAGGAATGGACTCGGGCCGGGCCAACCGGCCCGGAACCGGACTGGCCCGCTACTATGCGGGCCCGGACCGGCCCGGTAAATCGGTTGGTGCCCGGTTCGGGCCACCCGGCCCGGTGAGGTAGGCGGTTCGGGCCCGGGCCTGCTAAATAGTGAATCGGCCCGGCCGTTTCGGGCCCGGTCCGGGCCAATTTATTTATTTATTTATTTTTTGATTTTTTTTTTAAGTTTTTGGGTTGGGCTGGGTATGATGGACCATTTGAGGTGGTTTGGGGTGGTTTGGAGGTGAGGGGGGAGGGTTGGGGGTTAATTAGGAAAAGCCAAAAAAAAATGAACCGAGGCCCGGCCCGGCCCGGACCGGAGCCGGGGTTACACGGGCCGGTTCCGGGCCTCCCCTTTCATGAACCGAGGCCCGACTGGGCCCAGGCCCGAACCAGGCCCGAACCGGAACCGGTCCACCCCTAGATATTGTTTTATCATAATTTTTTATGATACCTTAGTGTCATAAATTAGTGACACTTTATCGGTGACACTAAATTTAGTGTCACAATTCCCGACCTTCTATGACACTTTTGTAGTGTCAGAAAAACTTTTTGTGACACTTATTTAGTGTCACTATATAGTACATTCTTACCAATTTTGCACTTCAGAAATCATGAAAAAAATTAAAGTATTAAAAGGTATAAGTTCAGTGAATTGGTTAACAATTACAAAATATTCTTTTGATGTTCACAATGGCTACATTTGGGTAATAGCGGGTTGGCTTCAATCCGCCGTTTTTTACAAATGAAAACACTTCATTTCGCAGCGGTTTGATCCAAATCAGTCAAAAAACAAACAGAGCTAATATCGGAGAAGGGGCTGTTCTTAGCAAAATTGCGGTTACCAATAGAATTGTTCCTCTTTAAACAATCCCCTGGTTGTGCCCAAACTAAGACCGGCCCAGGGTATACCTAGCCCAATCGAACAGAACTTCTAACTTTTGAGGCTCAAAAAAGTTTAAAAAAAGTACACCCTCTGTCTCTTTGAAAGGTTCTCACTTTCTTTATTTGTGTGTCCCATTTTAAAGTGGAGAACCTAGGGGGAGGCTAGGGGGTAAGTGCCGCCGCTTTCGTCCAGGAATTTCACTACTAGTACTTAGATTAAAACCAGTGTCTCCGCTTCCGACCAAGAATTTCACTACTAGTACTTCGGGTAAAATTAATTAGTGCCCCCAACTCGTACAAATAATTATCAATATTATTAGATTAGATTATTAAGATACTAAAATGTTACAGTTATATAAATTAAAAGTTAATACACAATATTTAAATTTTAGCTGAATTAAAATAAAAGATATTGGTTGTTGGTTGTTGGCCGATTCTGTCAGCTGTTTTATGATAGCTGTTTCTATTGGCTGTTTTGATTAGCTGATAGTATTAGCAGTTTGTAAAACGGTGTTTGGTAAAAATGGTTTTTTACAATTAGCTGATAACTTGTCAAATGACCTTTAAGAACATCAATTATTTTTTTAATTGTGCACTTATATATATATAGGGAAGAGATCAAATAAAAAGAGGTTCTCCCGCGCAAAGTGCGAACAGTTGCATTTTTTCATCACCGCGTTGCACTTTTGCGTATTTCTGTTGCACTTTTTCGCGATGGCAAAAAATTTCGTTTTAATTACGAAATTGCCACCGCGTTTTTGATCAAATTTAGTTCACTTTTGGCTCATTTTGAGTCATTAGATCTGAAATGAATGCACGAGATTAATTCTCACTTTGCATGGGAAGACTTCGTTGTATTTGAACTCTCCCCCATATATATATAGACACACACACACACACGTATCATACACTACTGATGTTATTAGTATCAATACTTAAATCATTTTTATGAATTAAAAAATAAAAACGTAAGAAGACGGGTATTGATTCTTTAAAACAATTGTTCATGTATTAATAAATTTAAATAATAGCTTGATAAATAAATGGAGTTACAAGTAAAAATACATTAAGAACGCCTTTTCCTTGCCATCGAACAAGATGCAATATTGTCACGAATAACTGTCACTTCACGGACTCTCATATGTTCAACGCCTTGTCCAGAAGTAGACTCAACGTCGCGAAACATATCATCTGGTATGAAATATGGATCTCGATCAATGATATTAAAACCTGGATCCCCAATCGTGCTTTTCCGAATGTAGTTATGCAGTGCAAAACAAGAACAAATTATCTTATTCTGGTCACATAATGAATATATGGGCATTTTTTGTAATATTCTCCACCGTGCCTTAAGAACTCCGAAAGCCCTCTCAATGCAACTTCTCAGAGATGAATGTGCTCGATTAAACACTTCTTGAGATCCCCTTGGATTTGCAGCACCAAATTCTGTTTGGTGATACCTTGTCTTGAAGTAAGGTGTGAGATACCCTTGTCTTTCAGGGAAACCTTTATCAACTAAATAATATTTACCTATGTTGGGATATTGACCCGGAGGCCCAATACCCAGATTAAAAAGGCCCAGGATATCCGGCCCGAACAAAGACTCCAGTACCCTATGATGAGTAGGCCCAGTGAAGAATCCACACCGAACGAGGTTCGGTCCGAGTAGAGGCCGGCCCAGAAAGCAGAAATACCGAACGGAGTTCGGACCATACATCATACTTGGGCCAATTTAACAGCGTCATCCGCATGGTCCAGCATCCCGTTCGAGCAACGGACAACTAGCAAGTGGCCAGGTGCATTTAATGCCAGATTGTGACATCAGCAAGTGGAAACATGGGTGATCAAGTCGGTGGAACAACGGCCAATCAGCATATAGCAGCCCATGCTCTCCATTAGTATAAACAGAAGGTTTAATATCATTGTAAGGGTTAGCATTTTGATACTCAAGCTCTAGAATAACATTATTACTCTTGTTTCTTGTATTAAAAGCACTATTCCGACGTACCGATCAGGAAGTTTCCTTGTAATCAGACAGGTTAATTAATACAAGTGGGCTTCTGGGTATTAGTTGATTCATCTTTTATATTTTGTTATACAATTTGATTCTGATCCATTCCTGATATATCCAAATGTCGTGTTGGGCTTTCGGATCTGCGAGACTTACCTTCAACATTGGCGCCGTCTGTGGGAAACATTCAAAAACTTTCACATTCAATTATCCAAAACAACTATTTTTGAAAATGGTCAGAATCAGTTCTTATCACACAAATGATGGTTCGCGCCGTCACGGAAAGAGTCAAACTCCGAGAAATCAAACCCCTCAGGGACAATCCAGCCGAGGATCATATCCTCATTATAATGGGGATTTTGTAATTCCTGAAGCCCTAAGAAGGAATCCTCAGGCCATGCGAGATATGGCCCAGGTCATGCAGCACATGGCAAACGAGGAAGAAGGAGGATCCAATTTTACAGGGGAACTCCCCACACAAAAACGACCACGGCGTCATCCCACTCACGGGCCCATCGGAATAATCGCCGTGGCGCTCCAACAGCAGCACATCATATTCCCAGTGACCGGACCCCGATCAGGTCACAAGCTAGGGGACCTACTCCTATTGGCCGTCATTTCCAGCATGACGAACGGAATTATACTAGGGCCACTCAGAGGCACTGGGATCGGGAGTATGCAGATTTGAGGACTCCACCACCACCCCCTTTGATGGCCCAAGAAGAAGAAATGGCCGAAATGAGGAGACAAATGAATGAAATGAGAGATCAGATGAATAGGGCACCCGTACAACCTGCTCCGATCCAGCTCGGGATTACTTCCCCTTTCACCAGGAAAATCATGTATGCGGATATCCAGGGAGGTGCCAAACCACCGACCGGTCAGATTTATGATGGGGTAGGCGATCCCCATGTCCATTTAAGGAGTTATCAAGGAGGACTCATGCTACTAGCAGCGCCCGATGCTGCCATCTGCCGATTGTTCTTCAGTACGCTCAGAGGACCCGCTCAAGAATGGTTCGGGACCCTGCAACCTGGTTCGATCAACAGTTTTGCTGAACTATCAACGTTGTTCTTGGCCCAATCTGCTTCCAGTGCCAACCCAAAACGGCATTTCAGCTACCTGACTAGCGTGAAGCAGAACTCCAAGGAAACCCTCAATCAA